CATAATTTAGCAGCGCTCTTCGCAATGCAGGATTGTGCAACTGTAGTACATCGATTTGTATCCAGTGATGGTAGCTTTTTATAGCTTCCTGTACTCCGGGTGATCTTCCAGGCTATCAAGAAAAGACGCAAATTTGACACGCACGACACAAGAAATGAATTGGTTCTATTTACGAGTGGAGTTTGCAAATAAATATTTTTGACATTCAGTCAATGAGAACGTACCCCGGGAAGTCTGCGAAATTGAAAGAACGACCGTCTGGTCCAACGTCGAGCTCGTCCAAAGCATGAATTTCATCCGGTGTGAGACAGAAGTTGAAGATCTAAACACGAATTTTAGACTAATTACAAGAATTGTTTAACATGCTCGTGAAAATGAAACAGTTCCGCCCTTCGTGGCAACTGCTTTTTTTTATGTAACGCTTAGCGCGATGTTCAATGAGCGTCTTAATTCAAAGCATGTAATTTGGCAGTGGGATATATATTTTTTTCCAGAACATTAGACAAAAATGCGCGAAAAGAAGGCAATTCAAATGAACACCTCGTTTCTAACATCGCAACAAAAGCAGCGTGTTCAGTGCCAATCAGTAAATGGGAGTTCCAAAAGTGTAAACATTCTTTTTCCTTTTTCACTCTACAATTCCCCAAACCTTTGCATATTTCCGGCGCTATTTCAGTGTTCGCTTTTCATTAAGGGACATTACTCCCCGAGAATTTTTCGTTTTCTTAAGTCCAGCTTCTCAATAGTGAAATACGGTACTGTATTACTTATTTTACGATTAAAGCATTAACGAGACATACTCGCATTTTAAAGCTCAAAATTCGATGAAACCTCATTCTTGGAATTAAATTTGAAAATTCTCGCGGACAAATTCAAATCGATACGCAGCGCAGCTATCCCGCATAGCAATTTTTGTCTATACTTCGGGTGTGAAAGCAACAAAAGAAGGTCCACAACCATGTAGATGTCAAAACTATTTTGACAGATTAAAACATTAAAAAGTATTCCGTGGTACGTATGGTATACCTGATAATTGAGTTGAAGTCGCGTCGAATTAGTCGACTTGGGAATGACTGCGACGTTTTCTTGCGCCAAATGACGCAGCAGAACTTGACCAGGTGTAACACGGTGTTTACGAGCGATCTTCTTCACGACTTCGTTATCCAGCAATGGCGGTATTTTACTGTTCATGACAAAAGAAGACAATTAAATCCCTGAGTCAGCACGGATTTCAATTCAAGGATGGAAATTTTGAAATCATACGGAGCTGCGCGGCCCATTTGCTTGAAAAACTGTGCCCTTCCAGGGGATCCAAGTGGGGCATATGCGACGACTGTGATTCCCTTCGATTCGCAAAATTTCCTGCAAGTAAGAATGGAAAATATTACACATAGCCTCAGGTACTGTATTTGCACGATTATTTAGGCAGCGCTCTCTTATAACGCGCAGAAATTTGGGAACTTGAATTTTTTTTTTCAGTCCGCGGGAAATTTTCTTCAGCATAATAAATTTATCAAAATTAGTAATAAAGTCTGTTATCATTATTTTTAATTTCGGAAAGACAATGGCAGTTGAAATTATCTGATGGAAAATAAAAGATGGCGTTTCTCTTAATAGCACGTACTTCAGATATATTTTCAAGCCAGCTGCAATCAATTATATTAGTTTTTTGTTCTGAGAAACCTTTCTGCAAGCCCACCTTATAATTTTTTGAAGATATAGCGTTACACTGTTATACAGCTGCTTCCTTGGTTCTTATAATCAACATTTTCGAGAAGGGTAGAAACTTTTCAAATACCTGCCCTGAAGTCTTTTTAACAAAAGATTTTTGCATCTCCAAACTTTTTTTTTTCATCATTGCATGTCCGCATAAATTTTTTTGTGGAAATTTTCTGGTCCACAGGGCCCAAAAAAGTTGGGGAACATTGGTCTATACAGTGGGAAAACCTGCGAATTCTTTTTTTTTTTAATTTTCAGAAGTTATTGGATTCTAGGATAAGCCACATATATTCTCTGAAATGCATATACTGTACTATACTCAGATATCTTAAGAATGAAGATAAATATTGATCCGATGATGGCTGCCTCGTCGTAGAGCGAACCGTCATTACATTTTAATATCGAGTTTGTTAGACGGATAAAATAAATTATTATTCAAATGTGTATTTATATTATGATTCATTATTAGTATTATTAATTATTTATGACGGAATCCCAGTTTCTCGCACAAAATCATACTCACCGCAATGGTTTCTGTTGGAAGTAAGCATGGATTTCAACCTGTAGGTTGGCAGGTTTGATTTTTGCGTTATCCAGAATCCTCTGAATCTGCTCCTCGGTGAAATTGCTAATCCCAATCGAAAGCGCTTTTTTATTCTCCACCTGCTCCTCCATTCCCTTTTTTTTAAATCATGAACGAAAATTTGTTGACAACATTTAATCAGCAGGTTTGCGAATGCGAGTAAATTTAACCTTCCAAACGGCGATCAAATCGCTTTTCAAGTCGACGTCAACTTTCCCTTCACTCGTGAAGGGAAACAATTTATCGTCACCGTGGTAATTGAAACCGATCGGTGCATGAACCAAGTACAGATCAACGTAGTCAAGTTGAAGAGCTTTCAGTGATTTTTCGAGGAATTTTTTCGGGCCTTCTCTCGTCATTCCAATCATCGGCAACTGCAAGGTTTAAGAAAGAAAAAATATAAAAATTTCAGACGATTATTTCAGACAAACTAATGAAGGAATTTTTTTTTCACCTTCGTCACGATGAAGAGTTCCTCTCGCTTTATTTTCCCTGAGCTGATCCATTTATTCAGCAGCTTTCCGATGACGTCTTCGTTCTGATAATTGAATGCAGTGTCGATGTGACGATAGCCGACTTCCAGGGCGGCATCCAAAGCACGTTCCAGTTCCTCGGCTTTACCCTATTACAGTAATTGGAGAAATGTCATACAATCAATGTACAGTACAAGCAGCATTTTTCACGAGGAAAAATAGTTTTGCTTGATATGACTCTACATAGTTCTATAGGAATGCATCGTTCCACGATAATTGGGTTATTGCTGTTCGAAGAGTATACGTGGCTGATTTTCGTGCTTTGGCATAAATTAAAAAAAATTCGGATTGGAGATTTTAAAACTTGAAAATCTTGCTCCTGAATAACGGAATTTTGATGAAGAAGAATAAAATGGAAATAGTGTCAGAAATTATGCAGCATATATATAATAGAGAAGTTACAGAAATAGGGCAATGGCCAAATTGAAACTCATCTTCCATCAAAATTGCTTTCCATATTATCTGGCCAACAGATTTCAAAACTACAAAGCATATATAAAATTGGAAAATGAAACACGGCCAATCACATTACTCTTCGCCATTCTTCGAAGAAAAAAAATGTAAAAGTGTCGTACATCATCGATTTTTTTAATTTCGCGTTCATTTTGCATTATTTGTCTCAAAAACGAGCATTTCCCCCTTTTCTAAACTCGAATATTCCTCATTTTGGGACTGATTTATTTTTTCCCCGCGCAGGTACTGAAGTAACCGTAGGTCAGGAAATGCAGTATTGTATCTACCGTAACACCTATTTTCACAACTGAAAAATTATGTTTACGTCCCATTTGGCATTGACAAATTCTGAAAAATTCTCACCTGCCAAGTTCCAATACCAAGGATTGGCATTTCCTTGCCATTTTGTAGCTTCAAAGTATCGCTGAACGGCATTCTGGCGAAAAACTTTCTGGATTATCTCAGGTTTTACAAAGTTCTGAAAAACAATGTGGAAACTGGAATGAAAATTACATCTTGAGTGGGTTTGAAGGCAAATTTCTTTCGATCTGATGAGATCGACTGCCACGTATTGCTCTATTTTCAGAAATATCTCTCATTTATTGATTGCTGCATCAGGATTTAAAAAAATGCTTTGTTCCGCCAGAATCCGAAAACTTTCTCTTTATAAATTAGGACTTGAATTTTTCATTTTTCGCTTATGGCGGTTGCTTACCGTATACATAAACCAGAAAAAGTCATTCGAGAAAGGAGAAAAATATGAGTACCGTATTTACTCAAGTGCCATGCAAACCTTTTTCCCCCAAAATTGAGAGGGAAAAAGAGCGAGCTCGTCATGGACGGGTCGTCAAACTATTTTAAAGTTTTAGAAATTTAGTGGCGCATTATTATATTTGATTCTACAATGGAATATTGCATTTTGGACTAATTTTAATAGAAAAACTTATTTCAATGGAAATAATTGAAAATTAGTTGAATTCAGGAAAAAATCATGTATAAATCGAACTCTGGGTGTAATTATTTTTGAAAACTTGCAGTTTTAGAACCTATGAAAATATGGCGCGCGTCTTTTACTCGCGAAAAGAATTTTATTTTAAAACGTTTCGACTGAAACCCCGTGGTGCGCGTCTTATTCGAGGGCGCGTGGTACTCGAGTAAATCGTGTAATTTACAGTTACGCCCATCAGACTTTTTTTTTCAGATGCTGAGGTGCTCTATTGCTTTCAGTGAATAAAAACTAACGATGTCTCGAAAGAGGCAAAAACTCGCACGGATCAGCGGCACACTGTAACACTAACGCCCGAGGCATCTGCACGAGCATATCACACAGCATGTTCTAAAATAAAATGACTCCCTCGAACGCGACTCGAGCTTCAAGCTCTGCTGCCTCAACATTCGACCAACACAGAGAGAGTTTTCCATCTATCAGTGCTGAGCTTTATATATATAAGATAACTCGTACGCTTGTGCTGACTCACACACACACTCGTGGATGAGAGAGGTGAGCAAACATTAAGCCGCCAACGTGGAGGCATACGGCCGCATCTTCTCGCCTTTGTCCGCGGACCTCACGTGATCCCTTGCATTCCAACTCACCCTGATGAAGCAACCATTAGGGAAACGGGTAGCACCAAAAGTTCTATTCAAAAATACAGTGCACAGTTTCATGTATTACGAAAAGTTATGCACATTAATGCATCGTTATGCATATATGCGGCCTGTAAAAAATCTTTAGGTATGTATATAAGCGGTCAAACAAAAGTTCTTAGAATAGAAATCGAAATGGCACATAATAGACCTGAAAAACAATTATTCTTCAGGGAAAACATAATCTTTGGCACCAGAAAAAAATCAGCCCTATTTGACACCTTTTTTTGAATTTTTTGCAAAAGTCACCCTGGCAGAGTTCCGCTCCCCACTCAAAAGATGAGGCGCCCTTCCAGCAGATTTGTTTTTGTTGCCCAGCTTTCCCTGCAGAATTCTTGAAATCAAAGTGGCATTAATTCCAAGGGTTGCCTCCAGCTCTTCCAAGGTAATTCCGCCACCAATTGGCGGCTGCTGATACAAATTGTGACTTTGATGGCTGTGACTTTTGCAAAACATTCAAAAAATGTGTCAAACAGGGCTGATTTTTTTATTGTGCCAAAGAATATGTTTTCCCTAAAGAATACTTGTTTTCCAGCTCAACTATAAGCCATTTCAATTTCTATTCTGAGAACTTTTGCTAGACCCCTCGCACACTGCAAGAATTTCTCTGAACAATATTAGTAAACCTATCAAAAATGTCGCCTCATTTTGGATGCATATGACGGCTGAATGATAAAGGATGTAGGAGACTTAAGAGCAAAATTTCTCTGCTCGAACCTTGGACTTCTTTCTTCATTTTTCCGTGTAATATGGTAGAAGTGTCACAGGTCTTCGCAAAATATTCAATTTTTCACGCGTTTGCACCGGCAAAGTAATCAGGTGGAGCGAGAGATCCCACTTGCAATTATCATCACACGTCAAGTTTTTTTTTATTAAGATTTCCTAGAGCAGTTCCTGTCTTCTCGTCTTCAAATTTCCTGAAGATGCTCTGAAGATTTCAACAATGTTCCTCAGCAAAAAAAAAAAATACCTACACCTTATCCAACAGTTATAACAATACAGTATTTCAAAATTATCATTTGTTTGCAAATTTCAAGTTCAAAAAAGGCAAATTTCAAATTAGCCAGATACAGTATATCATAGAAATTGACGGGAAATATGTGCTGAAAAAAATGTAGAAATCCTAGCGCAAAAATCATATTTCAATATATAATTAAATATTTTCAACGAGTGTTGACGAAATTTTGAACACGTTTTGCCTCCATTCACAGGATTTGAGAGCGCCTGGAATTTTTGTCGTAGAATGCTATAGTACCGTCGATTATAAATGAAAATAAATTACTGTGATAAAAAATGGCCCAGAAAATATCAAGTTTTCTTGAAAATTCATTGGGACTTTTTGCAGCGCACCATAGCTGTTTATGAAATCATGGGACAGAATAAAGGAAAATACTGTGCTGTATTTCATACAGCAGAACAAGCGGGAAAGTGTCAAATTTTTCATCATATTCTCTGATTATAAGCATTTAAATTTTTAAAATATCATAGTTCACCGAGTGATAAAATAGGCTTCCGAATTTTTGGTCCAGAATAAATTTTACATCAACATAGGAAGTTGGCAACACATTATTTTGGAAGGATTAAAAGAACAACCGCATGCATCAATCATGAGAATGGAATGCGCTCAGCGTGAAAACCTAATAATAAATCCAAAGTTTATCAATCTGTATCCGTAAAATACTGTTTATTACATCAAAACCGATGGCTGCTTTTATTTAGCAACTGCGCAAAACATGCCTACCACAAATTTTTGATTCAACAGACTGAAGTTCTTGCCTGATGAATTTTTATTTCGGACATCTATTATCACGCAATGATTGGAATTGTACGTTCCCCGAAAATGTCTGATGACGCCGGTGAATGATGGTTGATACAGCAGAAAATCTTCTCTTTCTGAAAAAAAAAAGCCCTGACGATCCTCATTTGCCCGGCTTAAGAGAATATTCCGGATGCTCGGTGATTCTGTAAAAATAAATTAGCGCAATGAATTATAAAAAAGCAGCTAATGCCCGATCAACATATGAGCTGCAAACAGCTGCATAATTGTCTTACCCTGGAAATGCCGAAAAGGTGAATGAGCGTCCAGCTGGACCAGTATCAAGTTCGTCCAATTCGCGGATCTCATCCGGCGTCAAACAGAAGTTGAATATCTGTTGGAAAAATTATACTGCATAAATTTTCATTTGTCTTAACCCTATGGCTTAGCGTTCGAAAATCATGGGATCAAGTACTTTCACGTTGCATCTGTTACTGGGGGATCGTAATAAAAAGTTAAAAACGTTAGCTCAACATTAATTAAACCCTAAGTCGCCTCACTTGGAAATTCAGCTGAACCCTCGTCGAGTTCGTTGACTTCGGAATCACAGCGACATTTTCCTGGGCCAGATGACGCAGCAAAACTTGTCCGGGAGTCACCCTGTGCCTCTTCGCAATTTTCTTCACGGTTTCGTTGTCCAGTAGAGCAGGAATTTCACTGGAAAATAAATATTAAAAATTCTAAAATACTGTACAATACAGTACATGGATTTTAAATCATAGAAAAAAATCGTTATTTACACCAGCGAAGGACGACCGATTTTCTTGTAAAAATCGACCCTTCCGGGGGATCCAAGGGGTCCATAAGCAACCACAGTGATTCCTTTCGATGCACAGAAATCCCTGAAAATGGAAAAGATGAATGTGTTCATGGTGAGATCCAGGAAAAAGTAACCTCCGTTTTCCGCCCAAAACACCTCCAAAGTGATTTTCAAAATTCGGAAATAAATACAGTATCTGTACTGTATTTTATTGATTTATTATCAACAGGCGCAGAACAGCCTATTTTTGACTATATACTATTTAGTCACTTACCTCAATGGCTTTTGCTGGAAATACGCATGTATTTCGACCTGAAGATTCGCCGGCTTAATTCTTGCAATATCCCAAACTCTCTGAATTTGTTCTTCGTTGAAGTTGCTCACGCCAATTGACAGAGCTTTTCCGTTATCAACCTGCTCTTCCATGCCCTATATCAAAGCATAAGAGCACAAATTGCAGGAACACCTGTGATGATGAGATATGAGACGAACAAACGGCTTGAAATGCTTTAAATTACCTTCCAAACAGCGAGAATGTCGGAGTTCTTGTCTATGTCGACTTTTCCATCGCTCGTCGTGGGGAACAAATTTTCGTCTCCGCGATTATTCAATCCGATTGGTGAGTGGACGAGATATAAATCGACGTAATCCAGCTGCAATGCCTTCAAGGAGGTTTCCAAGAAATGCGCGGGTCCGTCTCGTGTCATCCCGATCATTGGCAACTATACAGCATAAAACGCAAATCATGAATATAGATTGCAGAAAAGGTCGATTTACTGATGAAAGGGAGAATACAGTAATTACCTTCGTAACGATGAAAAGTTCCTCGCGCTTTATTTTCCCGGACGAAATCCATTTCTTCAACGTTTGTCCAATTGCGTCTTCGTTTTGGTACAAATATGCCGTGTCGATGTGGCGATAGCCCATTTCCAAAGCAGCGTCAAGAGCGTTCTGGAGCTCATCAGCTTTTCCCTTAAAAGTAATTAAATTTCTTGATAAATTATAGAGATATTTATATATTCTATTCTATAAGGTACAGTTGGACCTTTAACACTCGAATTTAATACCTCCCCAAGTCAATTTTGTTTTCGAATCCCTGTCTGAATTTTCTTAGAAACAATGCATCAAGAAATCCCAAAATCAAAGGTTTTTCCCCTTGAACCTTCATAACTCAAATTCTATGGAGGTCTTTTGGCTATTTTTTTTTATTGAGACAGGAAAGAGAAAAATAATAATAATGTTAAGATGTGTTTTGGAAGAAAGTTAAAGACTAATTGGGATAATAAACTCTTGCCTCCAAGTTTCAGCATCCAGTCAACTTATTTATTCTGAATTGTAAGGCTAAAGATTTACATACAGTATTTTATTTTCCTGCAATTCTTCATTTGTATTTCCAGCAAAAAAAAAGCTGTTTCCTCGACTCAATTTTTTTCCTGGGCACTTGAAGGTTGACTCAGAGAGGTTCGACTACTCTTTATACACGCGGATTGTCAGAATTTCTAAAGAGCAAAGGCCATTATTTAGCACAAGTCTACGTAATTAAATTGGTTTTCCAGGCTTCAACCAGTGAAAAAAAAACAAGTCGCCTCGCACAAACGTGGAGAGATTTTTTGAAAGTTTCTGCAGCAACTTTCTGTCTAAAATTATTTTTAACGCCGTCTATTGAGATGACTCATTGAGTTTTTGTCACTGATGGTAGTCAAAATGGCATTATATTCTGCTTTACTCCGAGTCACTAAAGTTATTCCAATGACTGCAATGGTAAATATGTATTGATACTCAATTTTTGGGCATTGACATAGCTGCTGGTGATACAGCTTATTGAACAGTTCAATTCACATGAAAATAACTCAGATCTACTTTTATTGTTTTAAGCGATTCGTTTTTTAAATATTTCCTTGAATATCATCCAGGATATTCCGAAAAAAAATGTATAGACAAGTATCTCCCAGAATTTTAAAAGAGCCAGAATGCTGACTACGCAACCGCCTAGCTTGTGTTGTCACTGACAACAGCAACGAGGAACCGTGTGTGATGAGGGTTAACACATTTATCGATAGAAAATTGTGCCTAATTCTTCAAATACGGGTATAAAAATTGGGACATTACCTGCCACGTTCCTAGTCCAATAATTGGCATGTGCTTGCCATAGGAGATTGAGATCGAGAGAGTCCACCTGTATAAAAAGTAGGCACATTCACAAATAAAATCTGCGTAATCCAAGAAAATTTCTTCGAAGCACTTCGAGAGTCCACTAGCTGAATACCGTCGGAAGATCACAACATTTTGCACTGCATTAAAATTTGATCTTGATCTTTCGTGAGAGAGATCTAGAATGAAGAGTGCATGACGCGCATTGGAACTCGCGGTCTCCCATCAGTCAGCGCGGGTACGTCCAACACTCGTGGCTTATCCGCTTCAAACCCCACGGATGAAAATCGGGGAGTTTATCTCGGAACGAGGCACACATATACACATATCCGTACAGTATAGAAGACTACGGTTAGCCTTGAAAAGAAGGAGTGAATGAACGCGCGTGAGGCCCGCAGTGTTAGAGACGCATACAATATTTCGATTCACGTTGAGAAGGTTTACGGTATTTCCACAGAGCAGCAGACAAAGCCGAATCTTGCGACTCCGGGGGAGCTCAAACAACGATGACTTTGACAAAGCTTCACATCTATCCTCCGCGTATTTTTCGGAGGTGACGGGATAAAATCGCACAGATTAAAAGCATGGAGGAGTTGTAGCGCGATCAGCGAAAAACACCCATGACTAAGTGTTTCACTTTATCAAACGTTTATCTCTTTCTAAAAGTAAATTTATAAGCAGTCATAGCATTGTTATGGAATTACAGTGGATTAAAGCGAACAATTTTCACAGGAATAATGCTCTGTATATAATTGATATTCAATCAAACAAACATCTAAAAATACTATTTACAGAGAGTGTCCTTGATGCGAAAAAAAGCTCGTTTCAGCTGGATTGACAATACAGTACTGAAATCGCGAAGACAATAAATCATCAATTCATTGAAATTTTAAATAATAAATTCATTAACGGGTTTTCCAGCTTTTCGTTGGGTGACTTAACTTCTAGCTGCACGTCGTCTGAACACTTTCATTCCAACACATAAAGCATGGTTCGACTCCTTTAAGTCGGGACAATCTTCCTTCGATTTTCATGGTGAAGTCAGAAAATCTGTTCCGAGCGAAAAAAAAAAGCCAAGTTTCCTCAGAGGCAGGCGAATTTTATGTCAATGAGGTCGGAAATCACAGAACGCAGGAAAATGCGATCGAATCCCAGATGTATTTCCACGATATCCGTCTTTGAATATTCAGCAACCACGAGGCAACATTTCACATTCCGAATTCGCTGTTCCATTTGCCAAATAAGGAAGCAACCCCCCTCGTGTAACTTTTCGCGATCCACAGCTCCCTATACTAACAGCACTTAGGCAAACAAACTTTACACAGGGCCACGATAAGAAAAAAACAAAAGCTAGCCAAATCCAATGTGTCTTTTTCTTAGCATGATTGACTGGTTACCGGATAATTTCGCTTTTCAGAAAAACGAAAAGCAGATTTTATCCAACGAAAAACAAAAGGCGAACAGAGATTGAATTGACACAGATCCAGGCAGATCTTCTAGTTCCAATGTTGCCGACACTTAGAGAAATAGAAATAGCAGAAAAGTGTTCGCATATTTTAAGAAAATGACACCAGTTTCCAAATTATCGTCTTCTGGTACGTCCACCATTCAAGGCACACATAGGCCTTGAAAGCCGTGGGAGGATAACACTGCTTNAGCTTCACATCTATCCTCCGCGTATTTTTCGGAGGTGACGGGATAAAATCGCACAGATTAAAAGCATGGAGGAGTTGTAGCGCGATCAGCGAAAAACACCCATGACTAAGTGTTTCACTTTATCAAATGTTTATCTCTTTCTGAAAAAGAACTTATAATTAGTCAAAGCATTGTTGTGGAATTACAGTGGATTAAAGCAAACAATTTTCACATGAGTAATGCTCTGTATATAATTGATATTCAATCAAACAAACATTTAAAAATACCATTTACAGAGGGTGTCCTTAATGCGAAAAAATCTCGTTTCAGCTGGATTCACAGTACAGTACTGCAATTTCAAAACCAATCTATACCCGCAAAATAATAAATTAATTCAGTAAAAAATTCATATAATAAATGCATTAACGGGTTTTCCAGCTCGATTTTTCCTGCTTTTCGTTGGGTGACTTTACTTCTAGCTGCCCGTCGTCTGAACACTTGTATTCGAACACATTAAGCATGGTTCGACTCGCTTAAAGTCGGGACCATCTTCCTTCGATTTTCATGGTGAAGTCAGAAAATCTGTTCCGAGCGAAAAAAGCCAAATTTCCTCAGAGGCAGGCGAATTTTATGTCAATGAGGTCAGAAATCACAGAACGCATGAAAATGCGATCGAATCCCAGATGTATTTCCACGATATCCGTCTTTGAATATTCAGCAACCACGAGGCAACATTTCACATTCCGAATTCGCTGTTCCATTTGCCAAATAAGGAAGCAACCCCCCTCGTGTAACTTTTCGCGATCCACAGCTCCCTATACTAACAGCACTTAGGCAAACAAACTTTACACAGGGCCACGATAAGAAAAAAACAAAAGCTAGCCAAATCCAATGTGTCTTTTTCTTAGCATGATTGACTGGTTACCGGATAATTTCGCTTTTCAGAAAAACGAAAAGCAGATTTTATCCAACGAAAAACAAAAGGCGAACAGAGATTGAATTGACACAGATCCAGGCAGATCTTCTAGTTCCAATGTTGCCGACACTTAGAGAAATAGAAATAGCAGAAAAGTGTTCGCATATTTTAAGAAAATGACACCAGTTTCCAAATTATCGTCTTCTGGTACGTCCACCATTCAAGGCACACATAGGCCTTGAAAGCCGTGGGAGGATAACACTGCTTGCGCCAAAGCCGCTTGTCCGTCGCCTCCCATTTGCACCAATGCTTCTTTGCTGGCACGTCTGTTCGAATAAAAAATAATGAATAAAATTAATATGCATAAAAAAATCATGAAAATACTGCACATTCAGTATTCCTCAAGAAATTGAAAAAATCATAACACAATGGTAAATTAAGTACTGTATCTGAAAACTGACAACAGACCGAAAGGGAAATCGGATGCACTTCAGCAAGGCTCCAGAGGAAACTTTGAATTTTTTTTATTCATTCATTAGTGTCGAGTACTTTGAAATGTTGATACCACAAGTTCCAAGATAGGAGATCAGAAATAGCTCGGCGCAAGAAGTGTAATTCTCCGAGTAGCTCAGCCAGTCATTTTCTTTGTTCATTACGCTTTCTTCTTTCTTGATTAATACACACAGAGCGTTACAAAAACTTCATAAAATATTAAATTTTCCGATGAATTTATTAAATTTTAAATAAAAAATTTTCTGGACTGGGCTTTATGTAGATTTTCCGAAGATCCGAACGGCAATAAAGCCAAAAGATGTCGCAGAAGTTCCAGTGGAAATTTAAGAAAACTCCTGAAGGATACTGATGGAGTGGGGAGGATAACTTGACAAATTTCAACAGATTAAAAAATCCGAAATAAGTATCTCTGCAACGAGAAAGGGAAGCGTTGTATAAATCCCATTTCACATAAATCTTCATCAGCGAATATACAATCTGAAATGTAATGCCGTGAATCAAAAGGGTGGTAAACGTGAAGATGTAACTGAGTTTATCCTATAACAAGTCGTGTGTGACTATCAAAATTATTACAGTAAGAATATCGTAATTTAACATCCCTCACTATAATAACCATAGATTATGCCAGGCATACGGTGAGAATTACAAAATTACTCTCGCAAGACATTATAGTTCGAGCGTGACTTTTATGGAAATGAAGTACCGCAGTTTTCACGAAAAACCCACCTGACATATAATAACCATAGATTATGCCAGGCATACGGTGAGAATTACAAAATTACTCTCGCAAGACATTATAGTTCGAGCGTGACTTTTATGGAAATGAAGTACCGCAGTTTTCACGAAAAACCCACCTGACTGCGTCGGATGGATCCGAATGGGCCAAAAAGGCGAGCGGACCAATTGCAATGCTTCCGGGTCCGATGATTGTCAAAGCTCTGCAACTACCCTCGCGATCATGACTATTCTTGCTTTCCAGCGCCTCAAGCAGAATCTTTTCAACCTGCGACACATGATAATNGGCGAGCGGACCAATTGCAATGCTTCCGGGTCCGATGATTGTCAAAGCTCTGCAACTACCCTCGCGATCATGACTATTCTTGCTTTCCAGCGCCTCAAGCAGAATCTTTTCAACCTGCGACACATGATAATAGATTAATTTGATGAACAGTGAAATCAGTGCAGTAGGGTATAAGAGGAGCATTTCCAATAAGCCAAGTTTCGAGGGGAAGAGACACCGCCTACAAGTCGTTTCCACATTACAGACATACCACATATTATGGACACTTCTCATAATGGATTTTTCGCACGATGGACTTCGGCTGACTCGATTTTGTTCATGCTTGGAAAAGTGATCGCTCTTACCAAAAATGATTCAAGAAGCTGAGTGAAAAGCACTGTAGTTGCCGGAATAATTTTCCAAGCGGATATAAATCATTTGACGAAGTCACAGTGATGTTGAGCATTGATTTCCTTCATTCGGAGTGCTTTTGTCATTAGTTCAGCGCCCATAATATTCGAAGTAAAACAAATTTATTTTGCGGACTTAACTCAAGAAGGAATAAGGGAAGTATTCGAGGGGTTCGTAATTTATGACCCATTCCATAGAGCATAGGCCTTCAAATAACCCACGCATAGAACAGGTACGGCGGGTGGTCTCAAACCTGTTCTCCAACCAAATATATTTTACTCAGTTGAGAGAATTTTCCGATTATGGACTCAACACTGAAATGTTAATTCGAGCAGTCGTGAACTCCGGTTGCTAAGTCTCTTCTCCGTAAGAAGAACTTAGCCGATGCTACGTATGTTTATGTCATCTCATCAAAACATTAAACTACTACATGGCGAAACGCTTCTAAGCGAGCTTGGTGCGTGACGAGAGATGCGAAGTAGCGACGGGCAGCATCGCGAGCAGATGAGGATGCCCTGGAACACAGCAAGTGACTAGTTGCAAGGACAGCTCCGGTGGGTGGAGCAGATTTCATCGACGACATGCTGGCCAGCGCCTCTTTGCGGCGTCGTTCCTTGCGCTTAAACTGGGATTTCGGGTCACGAGAGTCATCATCCGAGTCCAGCAGTTCGGAAATGTCTCTCGTCAGATCGTCTGCGAAAATTACAGAAAATTACTGTCAATGAATTTAGCATACGGAAAAACGGGAGGCATGAATGTGACCCGGGTTGGACAGCAACCAACTGAAAGATACAGTACTCCTAACAAAATCAAAAATCAATGCGACGAACATACAGCTTTTCATTCTGAACTAGCTTTGAACAAAAGTTGTATTCCCTCAACTCCTCTTTTGGACATGAAAAAATAGGGACAGAAGATTAGCAAAAACAAACAGAATCTTTTGTAATCAACATGAATAAAAACGGGTTCTGCAGAAACAATTTCCACAACCGACAACTAACTGTATCAGCACGTACTTTTTCCATTCTAGCAGCGAGGTTAAAGTACATGAAAAGTAAGAAGTACATGAACATTAGAAAAGATTTTTTCAGAATTATTCCAGATTCTCAATAAAATACGACCGTTTCCAGTCTCAAATATTTCCTACTTTCCTACTCTCTTTTCCTACTCCACTGAAGGTCCAGCAATTGGTTAAAATTACACTGTCAAGAGTTAGACTGAAATGAAGACGCTGAAGACTTGAAGATAACGAATTTATTTGCAGTAATTAAAAACTGTTCGACTAAAAAATTCATCATTCGATCAAGTACCCAGGTTTCGAAAAATCTAGCTTCATTCAATGGAAAAGCCAGATTGAACTGCAGGTTTCTGCCAAAATTCTAAATATGTATTCTTCATCAGAAAGTTCAGGTATTTTCAATGAGAGAAATTAATAAACATGAACATGAAACAAAATGAAGCGCCTTACATTCTCTGGCGAGGTCTAGCAACGAATCGCAAACGCGTTTGCCAGAGAAGAAGTCTCTGAACTGGAAGGCTGTCACAGGCAATTTTTCCAAATCCAGCCCAGGACCAGTCATCTTCCGTACGACGAAATTCAGAACTGTAAAATAAAGTTCAGAGATTGAATAAATTTCAAATATTGCATGAGGAGACGACTAATTCGAAAGCCAGAAACTACAATAAATCGGAGGAATTTCAGATGAGTTCGATAAAAGAAAGAAAATGCAACTTTAAACAGTTATGTGAACGTCAGAGAAAAACATGAAATTCAGACGTACTAATGCAATGATTCAAAGCAAAGATGTAAATCAATTTAAATCGCTCACATTTATCAAGCCGCGCTTCTTTTCCACGCCAGAATTCTAGAACCTTCGGTCTAAGCCCGGCTTTCACAGCGGCTCCAGTTGACAAAATTGAAAAATGCTTGCTCTTTGACGCTGTTAAGCTTTTCCACGCTGCACCAGCATCGTCATCAAATATTTCGTGCTTTTGAGGTGGTTTTCCATCAGATTTTATCAATCCAAGCAAAACTCTGAGAGCGGAACCCTGTCGATTGAGATCCAACACTGCTAGCTTCTCGGTCTCCTTCATTGGTCCGAATCTTCCAATTTCCTGAATCGCAAATATCCAGAATCAGATTTTAATCAACCCCTGGCTCATATGAAAACAATCGGCAACCTTCAAAATAAAAAAACCAAATTCAACCTTGAAAGCGGATAAATCTCAAACCTCGATAAGGGTGTGGATCAGCTGAAGGTGAACGCTGAGCGCAGTATCCAATTCATCCGTTCCAGTTATTGTTCCGGTTTTCGCTTTGTTATCAATGTCACTGCGAACGGATTTCCTATCTCCCGCCTCATCGCCCGATCCATCGCATTCATCGAGGAAATCGAAGCATTCCAGCACCCGCTCTATTGCCGACATGCTATCACCACTGTCTTGACGACCATTCTCACTCAAAGCGACCTTTGAAAAGAATTAATACATTTTTGTCACGAGGAAATACTCCCACGCGAACGAATGACTATTTTCATAGACTCAACAGAGCGTAAGAAGACTTCTGATGAAAAGAAAGGAGTGCGCAGGAGACAGATTCAGCTGATCAACTCAGCGCGAGTTCGTTTAATACTCTAAACCTGCACAGGGAAGTGAAGGAAAATACCTTTACTGTATTAGCATTTACGCGTATATGTGAGTCGCTGATTCTCAAACGCGCCGAAATGTTCCTCTTGGAACCATATTTTGCATCACAATGTCAACAACTAACACAAAAAGAGTACTGCCGGTTTTCTATTCCCTGATTTCCAAATTTCAAATGTACAGTACCTCAACAAAAGCTAATTGATTACATGAAAGTCGAGGCTCAATCTAATTTACGTTCAAGCGAAATAAAGGAATCATGACTACCGCGTCCTTC